GTTCATGTTTGATAGTTGAATAAGTCATTGTTAAAGATTATCAGACAATCAAATTTTACTCCATTGCGTGTTATCAGACGGGTTCTCATTGTAGAGCTATGAAATTAAACACCTAACAAATGTTGATTTATTTCGTAATATAATTTTCCAAAGTTTTTTATTGAAGTCGAATTCATTTTATTCTATAGTTTGTCGGATATGCTCAACACTTCATTTTTTAGTTAAATAAGTGTTTACTTTATCATTTGTGAATGCTATATATTATTATATCTTACCATATCATGTTTGCAATATGGTTTTCACATTAGTAAGTGTAGTTCGCCAAATATTAAATGATACAAACGTCTGGAAAGATTGTTAATTTACATGATTTTTGATGTATCCCAAATTCATTAAAACAATTCAGGGGAACAAACCAGTTGACAAGTACATGGTGGTTTTATTATTACATAATCTGTTCGTGGCACAATTTGTGGCTTCTGCACAAATATGGCTATAGTTACCATAATCACCTTATTATCATGTGCACTCATGAGAGTGATGTTCAAGTGATATGTTTACTCAAAGCTCTATATTGGTGTTCGTTGTTACATAATCCTGTACTCACCACAATTGAGTTCATCAGTCAAATCTTCACAAATAGACCAACCATTACATCGATCCCATGGACCAAAACATCTACTACTGTTTTTACACTTTTCCATGGGAGGACTGCAATCAGCTGTATACACACATAAATAAATTATTATAAATTCCATTTAAAGTTGTTGTTCATCTTAGAATAGAATTTGTAAAGTAAAACGGCGCCACTTTTTGTTATGCATTATACTGTCAAACCTACCCTTCGAAGCAAATTGTATTCATTGGTCTATGTGTGACGAAATCGCCCAAATATTTCGACTCATTCAGATTGAATTTGGTAGCATAAACAAGAATCGTCAAAATACTCTTTGGTGTGAGTGTTTTGTGAGTAGTGCATAATGTGAGAGGTGTCGCATCATGTTATTTTTTTAATTGGAGTTTCTAATCATAAACAACAAGCTTAAGACAACTTAGTATGACCGCGTTACTCATTGCTGTCTAACTACAGACACTTAATCGAGAAAAAGAAGTTAAACACGTTTAACCCTCAATCAATATGGCGCTATAGAGGATTCATTATTGTTCAAATAATGTTGTACAGCAGTGACGTAATGCGTGAATAATAACTTCCCAACATTAGTATATCGAGTATAATGACTTCGTATTCAATATTAGTGACCATGCGTGCACTAAAATAAAATTGAATGGAATGAAAGGTGGTGATATCGTAAGGCGACCGTTAAGGTAGAAGCCTACTCATAATTTTTGAACTCGCTTGAAAATGATCAATGGTTTATTGTGTTAAATCGTGAAGGTATTGTCTCATGGCAGGCACCATGAAATAACATTATTTTCTTGTGACCTATTTTGAGAAACTTCTCAAAACTTTTTCAAAAATCTGTATTTTCATATTGTTTTATCATCATTAACAATGTATATATTTTTTTCATGTCACCAGCCTTCATTTTAAGATTAATATATTATCACTGCCATGGGAATCTATATGGTAAAAGCACTAATAATACTACCAATTTGATCACTATCCACTAAAATACAACTAGCATTTTCTCGATAATTAGGCTGGTGATCCAACCCTTTTTAAAGTCAATATCCTTATATTGCTCGAAATTAAAATTTAGATACTTGAATGAGATTCTACTTTAAGTTAGAGATGCAGGCTGGGAGACTTTCATATTTAACTGATTCTAACTACTGAATTTAAACTTTCCAGATCTATGGTTCACAATAAACTATGATACCGTATTAAGTGGTGTGGATTTGGGGTTTAAATGCACAGTGCACTTAAAACTATTTAACTTTTGAATACACGCCCTGATTTTGATTTTAAAATACTTATTTAAAACTTCTGTTTATCAGGAACATAGTGGCTTATTTATTAGTGTTTCTGTTGACATGTTTTTACATAGTGCTCTTTGAAACATTCACGCACTTTATAAATCGTTCACAATTAACAGAGCCGCTGATTGTCAGCTCTATTTTGTCTGTTTCAGCGAAGGCAATGAAACTAAACAAAGCCATTTACTTAGGATAATCACCCCTGAAAATGTCATTGAAAACAAATGAACCGTCTAGAAGTTAAATAGTTTTAAAGTTGAAAGTTTGAGTAAAAAATGAAACTGAGATAATCATAATGAGTTATTTGTTGATGTTAAATCGTCAGTAAAAAAATAAAATAAAAATATTTACAATTCGAGGAAAACGAACGAAAATTCGTCCGCGAAGTCACATCCTTGTGTGAAAACTGTCATGGCGTAATGTTACCAATTCCACTGAAGGAGAGCACAATAGATTACGTAAAGCCGATGAGATATTCATACAGTTATATAACATAACGATCGCCATTGGGTGGGTTGAGTCTAAATTTACAATGGGCCGTAATATTTTGTACACAACGGCTATTCGCAGTTTTTACTACTCAATCACCCAAACGCCGGTGAAACAAAATCGAAAGTCGCATTGGAAGGTAAACTATTGTAAATCGACGCAGGCTTCATTCAACTACAGACGAGACGGGTGTATGAAAATTAAACGAACCCCGATCTCCGGAAATAACTCATTCATAGAATGCCTTAGTACCAGAGGTTGTCGAGCACAGTCATACTTTGCGACATCACTACCGGTGCTGACATGAGGGTTTTCAATAAGGTAACCAAAATAGCATCATAGAGTGAATGATTTTTTCCGTAGTGTTTAAAACAGCATTTCGTTGCCGATTATTCTGTAATTCCCAGGGTATTCTTTTTATTTTTAATTAACCGAGCATTTTACGTTTGTGTATTTTAACTCTGAAAAGTTAGTTATTAATGAAAACAACAGCAGTGGTGTTTGTTCACTACATTGCAATTATATCAGCACGGTGATCGTTACAACGAAACGAAAAATGTGAACTAGATGTACCTAAATACACCTACGTTACAGTTGAGTAAAGAGATGACTATCCTGATTGTCTGGGACTACTTTCGATACTTTGGATTATTGCAGTTTGTGAGTATTGGTGATCGCGACTTCGTATTTTTTGATAAAGTACACACGATTTTGGGGCTGAAAGTTAGAACTCCACGATATTTAAATTCATCTATTGACATCTTTGAAGGCGTATTTAACATATATGACTCGGCTGAAGATTTGACGACACACTGAACTGACAGCAATGAACTGATCACTTTAATTGGGTAGAGTGATTAGTCCTGAAATTGGTATGTTCGGAATCGACAATCAATTGCGATACACACGTTAAAACCTAATGACGAGAAAAAATAATGATGATACGCATGTCAATACTGTAATAATATTTAGAGAAACTGGACTTCACGACTAGTAATATAACTTTTAAGTGACGATGTTGTGGAACTGAACACTCAGGATAAAAGTCACCCATACCGACAGTATTAGCTATGACATTATTCATGACAACGCTCGGTCGGGCATGTATTTCTAAAACACAAGAGTGATGAGCGAATATTGATTACACAGTAACGAAAGGAAGACGAAAACAAATGCAGACAACAACGCGTGGAATGGATATTGCATTTACCAACCGTATCAGCATGTTTTCTTAGTCGATAACACAAAATAACACGGAATTTGTTTGATGTAATGATGAACTATAATATAATTTAAATGTATATCATTTCAGATTAGAATTATTTGAAGCATTGTAGGTTTGTGGAATAATGCCATTGTCAGATTACTTGCATTATTTAGATCACGGAGTGAGGAAATCGAGAGGTTCTATAACGCAACTAAAAAACTACAGAACATAACCTAGCATTAATTACTACATGACGGAATAGTATCGTAATACTCTGTGGTAATATCAGTGTTTTAGAAACAGGACGTTGATGTATGCTATGCAACTATAGACCACATTTGTTTTCAAACTGCTATTCGTTGTTCTCATGTATTGCTTACTTGTTTTCTCGCCTTGGCGGAATATCTAAATTAAACTCGTTTTCGTGTATTTTATTCGACCTTACCGTTCTATTTATTTCAGTACTTGAGTTTGTAAAATAAATATTAATTCAGTCTTTCGTTAAATATTCACTTAAATAGTAGTGGCATGAATCATATACCAATGCCCAAAACTGACACTAAATTTCAATCTCGACATATGCCTTTTTTTGTAATTAAGCCAAACCTCCCACCATCTTGATATTATTTTGGATGTGAGGTCGAAGAATAAGCATTTGTGGCTACATCTAATATATTTATCCAACAAACTGACGATTCCCGAGATAATTTTGGAAAGTAAATAATATAGACATAAAAATAACCACTCAAAGGCACAATTAAACCACAATACAAGAATGATAATAATTTATGATAATTCACAAGAACACTATCACTGTTATATGTTGTTTACTATTAATTTGTAGAAATTCTTTTCAGCGTGCATATTTTGATTTGGAATATTGTGAATTATATTCTATGCATCTGGTGAAATTGGAACTATTTATTGGCTGTATAAATTGAATATATGTTGCACTTTGCTGCTGATAATGCATCACATTTATATTATATTATATTACAGTATTATGGTATATTATTGGCGTTGTATTGGTCTGTAAATTGTAAGTAAATAATGCATTATTATTATTTCATCTCTGCACGAATAATTGTTAGGTATACTTACGACAATTAACTTCGTCTTCCCCATTGGCACAGTCAGGAATCCCATTACATACTTGGTCAATAGGTATACAGTCTTCATCATTGCATCGATACGTAAAGTCTCTGGAACATTCAGGCGAAAAAACAGCAGATATGACCGCTAAAAAATAAATGATGCATTTGCAAATTAAAAACCAAACAAACAAACAAGAAAAAAACGTACGTTACTAGTTTTGCTGGCATGAATTGAATGTATCAAAGATGATTTTTTTTATTCACGAGTAACCTGTCTGAATACTACACGCTATCAGCAATTTCCTTTTGACCTAGCGTGATATTCATATCCTGACAAGTCTTTACAACTTGTACAGAATATTTAAAATAGAAATTTAAAAAAAATCATATTCATACATCAAAAAATTAAAATATAATGTAATTTGACGGGCGCTGAGGTTGCTTATTTAATTTAATTTTACAACATGATAGAAAACGACAATGTCTTGTGATGCATAATAACGTTCCCATGTAATAACTATATAGTTGACAACGTACCATTTAGTGCCATTTAAGTTAATATGTTACAACAAATCATAATGTTTGAAACATACCATGCTACACTATAGCATACCAACAACACTAAATATAAATTGAGGCCGATTGATACTTTTTTACGTGAAATTGACAGTGAATTTTGAATATGCCAATTCAAGTAATTCGGCGTATCAAACAGAATCCGATTGGCTGTGTGGCATATCGTGGAACACAGCGCCCATTATCATGCAATCCAGTACGCTCATTTGAATTTCACTAAAACGTTCGGTAAATTTGCCAGCAATTGTTTATAACATATGTAAACTGCTTTTCTGAAAGCAATGAACAACTGCGTAAAAATTAATGAATTGATAATCCTTATTCAAATATTTGACTTACGACAATTTTCTTCATCTGAATTATCACCACATCCGTCGTAACCATTGCATATTTCCTTTTCTGGTATTAAGATACCATTCTTGCATTCTTTTAAAACTGTATATTGAAAATATAAAATATGTTAGTATTGTCATGACAACAATAAATTCGCGCGTATTGCACTGAGAAAATGGTTCACACAAGTAAATATTTGCTACCAATCATATACGCAAATGTTATATTTTAATTCTATCAGTATTTTAATCACCTGAATACATCATTCTGATTGTACAGTATACAAAGGATGTTGAGGTCACAGTTAGCCCATACACGTGCATAATATAATGCAGCAGTAAATTTTGCTGTCAACTACAATCCGCAAAAAATGACTACAGATAGATGTAGAACATTGCGACTCTTGGGTCTTAGTTCGAAATAATGCATGCGAATATGGGTTGCCGTTTGTGCATTTATTGATGTAAGCATATTATATGTAACAATAACAGGATTCTTCATTTAATGTGCATAATACAATAGTGGTACAAATTGTTTTTATATAACGATGTAAATGATTAAACTTATATATAGCTCATTACATATGCATATGCAAATTTGCTTTAAATATATTATATATAATGAAATAGTCTAGTTATTGTAATACACAAAGACACCTAAACAATAAAGTAAGTTAGATATTTCTAATTATCGTATTTTTTTATCTTTTTGTCACCATGAATACCGAGCGTAAATTCATTGGAATAACATCGAAAACGCTTTTCAATGAATGTCTTTAGTATACTGATATATCGCTACAACAGTGATACACGAGTCGTATTTGACAATAATTGATCACCCTACATAATGGTTGCAAGGGTACTACACAATGCGTCACAATGTCTTTATTAGGCGAAGACCAAGACAAAGAGATCAACACATTTTATTGAATTACAAAGTGTTAGTTAGAAATATTGTTAAGTTAACTTTGAACATGAACGGTTAGGGAAGAGTAAAATTATAGGTCTGGAACATCATTCACAAAATGACGTGTGGTACGATCCTTCATTTAATTCAACTGATGTACCACGTTTGATCATATTGCGATCATGGCACCGGGTGTCTGAGAAGTTTTCTATTGATGGGGTTGTAACATTATTCTAATCGCCATTCGTTATAAATTAACATTGATGCAGATCGTCATACCAATTCGCTTTCATACATATGGCATGATAAGTTTGAACAATAATGTGTTGGCTCCTGATTTTTCTTCCTATTTTAGCTATTTTATTTTTATAAAAAGTCAACTTCATTTAACTAAATTACAAATATTATAACTGTATTACATTTACAAACACAATTCGGCTTATAGGGCACACTAATTCTGACTCTGATAAAAAAATGAACGTATAGTATAGTATGTATAGTCGTCGTTGCAAAAGAACCGTCACATCAAGACCGACATCTGCTCCTGATATTTGATGATTTTTTGCACGGAAATTGGTGTCATTTGGCTATCGTGAATCGATTCTTTCAGAATCAAAAGAAAGTTTGAATGTGATCAATCGAGGTGTGTCTAGCTATAAGAAAGCGGGAACACAAGCGCGGATGCACCACTATAAGAATCATACATATTTTTAAAAAATGAACCGAACATTCTTAGACATGGACCCAGGGAAATTGTTGGAATACCTCAACACGTTACACCGGTAATCACACAGAGTAAACTGTCTTGGTATGATATGACATACAATAAATATTTACCACAGCCGTCTTCATCAGACCAATCATCACAGTCGTTATATCCATTACATCGGTCCCATTCATAGTAACAACTGCCATCAGTACACTTATACTCATCAGTACACTCAACTTTAGGTTCTGTCGACAACAATAATAGTGAGTGTCATTGAATTAAGATTGTTGAATACGTGTCTGGTCGAAAAAACGGTCATGACAACAAATAAATTATCTTGCTGTGAATTGCTTGTAAAAATGTAATAAATAACCCATGTCAACTCGTACCGGACACGTTGGAGTTTCGCTGATAATGTAGATTACGTTTAGACCATTAGATGTACATGTGTCAATCTAGTTTTATGATAACTAATCGAACAATCGAACGACAATCGAATATTTGTATCTGCGACCACAGGTAATGTTGTCGTTCCCAGGCACCATTTGATTTGAATGTAGAGAATCAATTTTAACTATACAATATTTCAGATGCTATATTAGTCTGATATCGCACTGTTCAAAGTGATCCATTTTGTTATGAATCATAGTCAATGGAGTCCAAGCAAGCAAGCACAAATATGAAATTTTACGTATAAAATGTTACATCTGTAATGTTACCAATTATTAGTCAAATACCATGACACTAATAATGATTATTGAATATGAAGAGCTTACCACACCCAGATTCGTCACTACCATCTGCACAGTCTTCAGGGCCATTGCATACATAGGACAGTTGAACAATATTCCCATTGGAACACTCAACTAAATATAATGAAAAAAATGTGTGTTTACCATAAATGTAATTGGTATTATACTGATGTAATGTGTCCGCCATACTAATGCAATAAATATGCCACTTACAGACGAAATCCTCACAATTCAGCTCATCAGAACCATCTGGACATTGTGGATAGCCATCACAAACCAAAGTATAGGTATCATCCTTCCAAACTCACACTCAAATCGTGGCACAGCTGAAATGACATGGATGGTGAAGGGAGTTACCATAATACATAAAAACATGATTCAATGCTTATTTGAATACACCACCTGACTGGCAGGTAACCCAGTATATACTGCATCTAGTTGGCGATTCATC